ACATTTGTCATTGTTATTGTTACTGATATGGTCCTTGTTATTGTTATTTTTGTTACTATTATTGTTGTTGTTTTGTTGTTGTTGTTGCTGTATTATTATTATTACTATTATTATCACACAATATTCAAAATGGGCATAAGAGAATGGAGTTTCATAAATACTTCTCCCCGTTACATGTATGTATTTTTTTTTCTTTCTCTCTCTCTTTCTCTTTCCTACTTGACACCCAAATACCTTCGGAAATGAGAGAAAAGCAAATCTGAACTTCAATCAATCCCCCTGCCCTCCCCCCCCTCCACCTTCTCCCTTATGTCCGACCCACAAACCGAAGGACAAACCACGCTAATCCTCCGCGACGCCCGAGGATGCCCGAGCAGTACCTCCCGAACACCGTGCGATTTGAACGGCCTCTAAAACAGACGCACCAAAACAAAGGGTTTTATAACGAATTGTCCGTATCGAAACACTGGTCTTCGTTACCGGTTCGTTGTTTTTAATTGGCTCGGCGCTTAAGTGTTACGATCCGTTGCGTGGGCATGGAGAAACGGGCGCTATTGCTCTCGGGCACGGGTGCTTGCGACGGGCAGCGCGGACGAGTTTTATACGTCTTCATAATCGCCGGCGCAAATGATTTTTTTTTCTTTCTTTCTTTTTTTGAAATGTGCTGTATGAGGTTTGGGGGGAAGGGGGTGGGCGAGATAAGTGCGGTTAATTGTTTTTCTTATTTGTTATTCTATTCTGTTTCTCTTGGCCTCACTCTCTGTCTCCGTCGCTCTCGATCTCTGTCTCCGTTTCGCTCTCTTTCTCTCTCTATCTTTCGATTTCTTTATCTCCCTCTTGATTCTTTTTATCTATTCCTAACAATAGACATAGCAAGGAATCCATCATTATTATTTCTTTTAAGCTACCCAGCATGGAAAATACCCACTAACACATTATCTTTTTTACCCCAACCTCATATAAAACATACCCACCTTTTTTTTTCCAAATAACCCACACATGGGGGAAAAAATACCCACTTACCGATTAAAAAAAAAAAAAATCAAACCCCCGGGAAAAAAAGAGAAGATAATCATTATAATAACATAGCCACTAACGCCCTTTTCCCCTTCTCCTCCTCCGACCCCACAGGCGCTTCGGGACCAAGTGTTCGGGCTGCCTGCAGGGTATCTCTCCCCAGGACCTGGTGAGGAAGGCCCGCGACCGCGTCTTCCACCTCAAATGCTTCACGTGCTGCGTCTGCCGCAAGCAACTGTCCACAGGCGAGGAGCTGTACGTGCTTGAGGAAAACAAATTCGTTTGCAAACAGGACTACATGAGCGGAAAACTGACAGGTGAGGCGAGGAAGGCTACTGGTCTAGGCTAGGAGGTCTTGCAAACGAGTATGGCGTGTGATAGATATATATTTTTTTTTGGGGGGAAGTCTTGTATTTTTAAGAGTGTGAAATTTTAGGGTGGTCTAAGTGGCCGGGAGATTATGCATTTTACGCTACCTGATTTACGGCGGAATAATTTAACCGGAAAGATGTCATTACCTGGAGCATATATTATCTCCAGTAAGAGGGATGATCAGAGCGTGTGACATATTTACCAAAGAATTGAAATTTTACGGTGGGAAAACTTGTTAGAAAAAAATATATATAGAAAGGAAATAATAAAAGAAAAAGAAGATGAAAAAAGAAAGAAAACCTTAAGTAAAGTTAACAAACAAACAAAAAAAAAAGAGAAAAGAAAAAAAAAAGTGATAAGCAAAAGAAAAAAACAGAAAGAAAACGGGATTCCCGATTAATCTTTTTTCTGTCCCTTTTTTTCCCGCCAAAAGTCGACCCTTACGTCATGTCCGACGACGAGGAAGAGATCGAATCCATGGACACCGGCGACACCTCCCTCACTTCCCCGGGCTCTGACAACACCACACTCCACGCCCCCAACACGCCCGCGACCCCCGCCACGCCCTCAGCGCCGCCCACCACAGACCTCGAAAAGGCATCGAGTGTGAATTCGCGAGACGAAGCCGAAGACGAAGACGAGGTGCTCGAAGGCGAGAATAAGGACGACGACAGACGGGTGAGTCGCGACGCCATTTTGTTTCCCTCGCTTTTTCTCCTTTCGTTTTGTTCGAAAGTTCGACGCGGGATGCGGGGGGAGAAATTGCTGTGAATTCATAAATTAATACATAATTCTCTCGCGATTTTCATACCTTAATAATTATAATCATTGCCACCAATATGATAATTATTATCACCATCACCTTCATCCCCCCACAACTAACCTCACTACAACCCCTCTTTTTTCCCCCATTTCCCCCCTCTCTCCCCCCCCCCCCCAACAGTCTGGCGAAGAGGAGAAAGGAGCCAACAAGCGCCGAGGTCCGCGCACGACCATCAAAGCCAAGCAACTGGAGATCCTCAAGAACGCCTTCAACAAGACCCCCAAACCCACACGGCACATCCGGGAACAGCTGGCCAAGGAGACGGGCTTACCTATGAGAGTCATACAGGTAAGATGATTTATTGCTGTTGTTGTTGTTTATTCTGGTTGTTTGTTTTCTCTCTGGGTGGTGTTTTGATTTTTTAGGTGGGGTGGTGTTCGTTATTTCTTTATGTTTATTCTTTATTTATTTATTTTTATTAAAAAAAAAAAAAAATGGGGGGGAGAGAGCGAAAGAAGTAGGTTATGTTTTATTGCTGTATATATATATATATATATATATATATATATATATATATATATATATATATATATATATATGGATACGTACGCGTCTATGTATATATATATATATATATATATATATATATATATATATATATATATATATATATATATATTTTGTTGTTAAGCGCTCTTGGCCGGATAATCATTATTATCATTACCTTCACAGTTACAATTACCTTCACAGTTCTGTTACAAGTATTACGATTTTAACTCTTACGTAATTTCATTTACTTTCCCGATCTCGATTGCATTTGGGAGACCTAAAAGAATTCCTTATTACTTAATCACCAATTAAGATTAAACAAGTTAATTGGAATGGATTTTTACGGTTTCTGTATCGATGCAGGTATGGCAATATTCTTTGATTTTGCCTTTGTTTTATTTCCTTTTCTTTCACACTATTTCTTCGTCTTCTTCTTCTTCTGTCTCTCTGCTATTCTTTTTTTTTGTTTTTAATTTAATTCCCTTTTTATGCTTCAAAACAAGAGCGTGAAATGTCGAGTTCATGCTTTGGTTCACGCGGCGGTGCTCTGAGCTATGATACACACAGGGAAAGGGAGGGAGAGGGAGAGGGAGAGGAAGGGAGGAGGAGGGAGAGACGGAGGGAGGGAAGGAAGAGAGAATGAGAAGGTGGGAGGGAAGGACGGAGGGAAAGAGAGAGAGAGAGAGAGAGAGAGAGAGAGAGAGAGAGAGAGAGAGAGAGAGAAAGAAAGAGAGAGAGAGAGAGAATCAAGACAGAGCGAGAGAAAGTAAGAAAAAGGAGACGAAAGCAGGACGAGAAAAGACCGCCGTCTCCCTCTTCCTCTCCCTCTTTCCCTCTTAATTAAGCGATAGAGAAGTATGTAGTGTGACAGAATGGGGGAAGGGATGGGGGGGGGGTGAACGTGTCACGCTATTCTCGGAGTCAAAGTGGCGTGACAGACGAGCAGTCGACGACAGCTGGTGACAGAGTGACAGCTGGCGACACCGCTGGGCAAGGGGGGGGGGGGGGGTAGATAAACAGGTAGGTTGGTAGATAGACAGATATACAGGTAGATAGAGAAAAAAGTGAATCAGTAGGTAGGTGGATCTATAGTTAGATGGAGAGAGAGAGAGAGAGAGAGAGAGAGAGAGAGAGAGAGAGAGAGAGAGAGAGAGAGAGAGAGAGAGAGAGAGAGAGAGAGAGAAAGCGTGAGAGAACTTGAGATAAAACAGGCACACAGACAGAGGCAGAGAACCCGAGACAAAGACAAACTAAAACTCCATTAAACAGACAGACACATGTAAAACACAGAATTAATAAGACGTGGCGAACCAACGCAACTTTTTGGGGCTAAAAACTACCCATCTCCCTCCCCCCCTAGCTCCCTCCCTCCCTCCCTCCCTCCCTCATGAAAATAAAAAAGTAATTGAAAAAAGTTATATCAAAGACACGCCGCGGAAGATGCTTGGGGAAGCGAGACTCCATCTTGGCTCTCTCTGCCCCTTTCTCTCTCTCTCTCTCTCTCTCTCTCTCTCTCTCTCTCTCTCTCTCTCTCTCTCTCTCTCTCTTCTCTCTCTTCTCTCTCTTTCTCTCTCTCTCTCTCTCCTTTCTTTTTTCTTTCTCTTCCTCTTCTTATCCTCCTCTCCTCTCTTCCTTCATCCTCCTCCTCCTTCTTCCCCATTCCTCCTCCTCCTTCTTCTTCTTCTTCTCTTCTTCTTCTTCTTCTCCTCCTCCTCCTCCTCCTCCTCCTCCTCCTCCTCCTCCCCCTTTCCCCCCTCCCCCCTCCCCCCCCGCATACCACAATCAGCGTCGGAATCCGAGCCGCGCGGGTCAGCTGCCACCGTCCCGAGCGAGATGGTGTTACACCGCAAACTAAGATAGCCTCCCTCTGATTCCCGCGATAGCTAGCGAGCTCTGCTAACAATTAGCGCTCTCTGCTAACGAGAGTACTACGGGTGATGGTTCTCCGCTCGCTCGTTGCCCCGTCTGATCGAACGCTAAACAGTTAGTTCTCCTGAGCGTTGTGATTTTACGAGGTGTAAGAGGAGAAGATAGATTCTCTCTTCTCTCTTTTTACTTTTTTTTTCTTTTTTTTGTACGTCATTCTTTCGCTTTTGAATTAATTAATTAGCGACACGCGTTCTTCCTTTCGAACTATTTCGAGCACCGCGCATCGCTAACAGGCAGCGCTTCCCGCTAACTAGAGCAAGATGGCGCTCACGGTCTGCTGTTGATGCTGCTGTTGTTGTCCGTGTTTTCTCCTCCCTTCGCGGCTCCTCTCGGCACGCCCGTTGTCGTCCCTTCGCCGCCCGTGCCGCCCGTCAGAGCCACTTACCGAAATAGTCTCGTTTTAAAGCGATCAAGTGCAAATTTGTCCCAACTCGGCAGATGTTGCTCGCCATGTTTTCCCGGCTCGTTTAGCGGGGATGAAGTAGCGATTTTTTGCTCCCATTAACAAGGAGGGGAGAGACGTGTACGGTTTGCGTGTCTCTTCTTTCTCTCGCTCTTCCCCTCTTCCCTTCTTCCCCTCTCCCCCTCTTCCCTTCTCCTCCTCTCCCCTTCTCCCCTTCTCCCCTTCTCCCCCTCTCCTCCTCTCCCCTTCTTCCCCTCTCCCCCTCTTCCCCTCTCCCCCTCTTCCCCTCTCAGCGGTCTTCCCTTGTTTTGGTGGCGGGAGATAACGAGGCTGAGAAGAAAGAGGAGGAGGAGGAGAAAGAAGGGAAAGGAGTTATTTTGTGCGAGTTGTTTTCCCCTCTGACATTTCTTCGTCTTCTTCCAATTTTCCTTTTCGTTATCCTTCCACTTCTACATTTTTCTTTTTTTTTCTCTTCTTGATCCTTCTTCTACATTTTCTCCTACTTTACCATTCTTCCTATTATACCTTTTTTGATATAAATATATATTATTTCTTTATCATTTTTCTTGTTTTTTAAAAATTTCTTACCCCCTTTTTCATCTTTTCTCCCCCAGTTTTTCGTCCTTTTCGTTGTCCTTCCTCTTTTTTCCCTATTTAGGTACATTATTTCTCCCATAATTTACTTTTTCTTCTATTTCCCCTCTTTGGTTTTTATCTCTTTCATTGGCCTTTTCATTTGATTTTATTTTTTTCCATATGTTCTCCCCTCTTCCTATTCGTTTCTTTCTTCCCTTCCTCCTTCCTACCACGTTTCTTCTCTTTATCTCTTATCTCCTTTCTATCTCCTCTGATTTTCTTCCTCTTCCGCCCTCTTTCTCTTACTTCCCTTACCCCTTTCTTCCTCTCCCCTTCTTCCCCTCTTTTCCCCTCTCATCACCTCTTCCCCTCCTTTTCACCCCTCCTCACCCTCTTTTCCCCTCCTCCCCCTCTCCTTACCCCTCTTTTCTCCCATCCCCTTCCTCCCTCTTCCCCTCCCCTCTCCTTCCCCTCTTCCTCTTCTTTGCCCCTTCCCCTCCCTCTCCTCCCTCCCCCCCCCTCCCCCGATCTTGCAAAGGCAGTGGACGATTATCAGACTACGAAGCTCAGCTCGCCACCACCAGCCATCTGTTGCTGCAGCTTGCAATGTTGACCATCCAGACTTGCAACATGGGATGGTGGTAGACTATTAATCAATTATCAATCTTGCAGGGGCTAGCGGTATTCGATGGAGAGGAGGGGGAGGGAGAGGGAAGGGAGAAAGAGAGAGAGAGAGTGGGGAGGGGGAGAGTGCCAGAGGGAAAGAGGGGGGAGGGAGAGGGGGGGAGAGGGAAGGGAGAAGAGAGAGAGAGAGGAGGGATTTGGAAAGGAGAGAGAGAGAGAGTGGGGGGGGGGAGGGGAGGGAATAGTGCCAGAGAGGGGGAGAAGGGGGAGAGGGTGCCAGATAGTGCCAGTGCCTCGGTTTCTCGCTTGGCTCCGGGGTCTAACTTCAAAAAAAGGGGGGGGAGGGGTATGTTTTTATCATGTTTTTATCATTACTATTACTGTGTTTTATGTTTTTTTTTGGGTTTATGATTACGCGCGTGGTTTTTTACGTAGTTAGGCGAGGGTGGAGAGAAGTCTATGGAGGTTACACGCACATAAACACGAACACGCACACACACATACACACACACACACACACACACGCACACACATACACACACACACACACACACACACACGCACACACACACACACACACACACACACACACACACACACACACACACACACACACACACACACACACACACACACACACACACACACACACACACGCACGCACACACGCACGCACAAGAGTTGTATCACAAGAGTTGTATATTTACAAACGAAACGTCATCTTTTCCTTCCACAACACTTAAGTCGAAAAGACCCGCTGTTTGCTTCACTTTAATTTGTTTATCCTTGAGGCACCTTACATAACTCCTTGGGCTATCAGAGGCTATCGGAGGCTATCGCGAACTATCGGATATCTTGGCTCCTCGTTGGCTCGTGTTCGTTTGTCTGTTTGTGTTTGTTTGTTTGTGTGTGTGTGTTTTTATTATGATTGGTCGCGTAATGTACTTCTGATTTATGGCACTGATTTGTGTGAGGGTTTCTGTGTGTGTGCGTTTTTTTTTTCGTGTGTATGTGCGTATTAATGTATGTACATGTACACATTTATTGCGCATGTGTGTTTACGTACGGACGCTTGCACACATGTATACTTCCATGCGTATATACTCATAAGTATAGAAGGACATGCGTACATATGCCTCCGTGCGTATGCGCAAATACCGATCCGCAGAGCTGCATATGCGTAGTGCGGCAGAGTGCGTGCGCCCGCGCGCGCCCCAGACGGCGAGGTCGGTCTATCCCGCAAATTGTCTCCCGGGCCGAGGCCACT